AAGCTTAGATTATTTTTGTTTTATTAAGTAATGAATGAAACATTATAGAATAGCAGGACTGATGTGAGGCCGTTTTGTAGACGTAGAGGAAAAGTATGAGCTCATATTTACACAATATCAGAGATTTTTATATAACTTATGTCACATCTGAATGTAGGTCATTTCTAACTGGGACCTACACAGTGTAGTCCTTGTGTGTTGTAACAATTATGATTAATAGAAAATGTCGTTCTCTCAAGCTAACCATGAATACCTGACGTGAATGTGATGATGATCAGTGACCGACTTGCCAGGGTTAAAATCAGAAAGTGTAATGGTGCTTGAGTAACGTGGAGTAGCCTCTTAGGCATGCTGCGATCATACGTTGTTATATATAGTGACAAGTCACCTCACACACTTAGGTTTTATGAATGTCGTATCATATCCTTTATACAAATTACATCAGAATCTCAATCACAATCTGTCTATTTTTGGACGATCTATTTCAAATCACGACACAACTATAGCTTTCGTCTGAGACCGATCGTGTTAATGTGAATTGTGGTACGTAACCGAATTTGTTGTATGTAATGGTATCTGCTATCCTTTTTCTTACCAATGTGCCACCTGTCCTGTGAGTATGTTCTTTTAGAATTAGTACAAAGTCTGCGACAGTAGTGCATCAGTCTTCAGAAGGAGTTCATGATTATTGCGGTCAAACGCTGCGCGGTACACAACATTGTCACACCGCACCAGAGGTATGAAATACAATATAATGGTGCTCTCTCTCACTAAAATATCAAAACAAGGATACGGTAGCACGAGAACTCATTTCAGGACAAAACTACTCATAGCCTTCCTCGTCCAAGACAGAACTACTCATAGCCTTCCTCGTGCAGGACAGAACTACTCATAGCCCTCCTCGTCCAAGACAGAACTACTCATAGCCTTCCTCGTCAAAGACAGAACTACTCAAAGCCTTCCTCGTGCAGGACAGAACTACTCAAAGCCTTCCTCGTCCAAGACAGGACTACTCATAGCCTTCCTCGTCCAAGACAGAATTACTCATAGCCTTCCTCGTGCAGGACAGAACTACTCAAAGCCTTCCTCGTCCAAGACAGAATTACTCATAGCCTTCCTCGTGCAGGACAGAACTACTCATGGCCTTCCTCGTGCAGGACAGAACTACTCATAGCCATCCTCGTGCAGGACAGAACTACTCATAGCTATCCTCGTCCAAGACAGCACTACTCATAGCCTACCTCGTCCAAGACAGAACTACTCATAGCCTTCCTCGTGCAGGACAGAACTACTCATAGCCCTCCTCGTCCAAGACAGAACTACTCATAGCTATCCTCGTCCAAGACAGGACTACTCATAGCCTTCCTCGTCCAAGACAGAACTACTCATAGCCTTCCTCGTCCAAGACAGAACTAGTCATAGCCTTCCTCGTGCAGGACAGAACTACTCATAGCCTTCCTCGTGCAGGACAGAATTACTCATAGCCTTCCTCGTGCAGGACAGAACTACTCATGGCCTTCCTCGTCCAAGACAGAACTTCTCATAGCCTTCCTCGTCCAAGACAAAACTACTCATAGCCTTCCTCGTCCAAGACAAAACTACTCATAGCCTTCCTCGTCCAAGACAGAACTACTCATAGCCTTCCTCGTCCAAGACAGAACTACTCATAGCCTTCCTCGTCCAAGACAGAATTACTCATAGCCTTCCTCGTGCAGGACAGAACTATTCATGGCCTTCCTCGTGCAGGACAGAACTACTCATAGCCATCCTCGTGCAGGACAGAACTACTCATAGCCATCCTCGTCCAAGACAGAATTACTCATAGCCTTCCTCGTGCAGGACAGAACTACTCATGGCCTTCCTCGTGCAGGACAGAGCTACTCATAGCCATCCTCGTGTAGGACAGAACTACTCATAGCCTTCCTCGTCCAAGACAGAACTACTCATAGCCTTCATCGTCCAAGACAGAACTACTCATAGCCTTCCTCGTCCAAGACAGAATTACTCATAGCCTTCCTCGTGCAGGACAGAACTACTCATAGCAATCCTCGTGCAGGACAGAACTACTCATAGCCTTCCTCGTCCAAGACAGAATACTCATAGCCTTCCTCGTCCAAGACAAAACTACTCATAGCCTTCCTCGTCCAAGACAGAACTTCTCATAGCCTTCCTCGTCCAAGACAGAACTACTCATACCCTACCTCGCACAGTACAGAACTAATACCTTGTATTGGTCGGAACGTAACTCACACCCTACCTCGCTCAGGACTTAACTGATATCCTACCTCGCTCAGGATAGAATTAATGTCCTGCATTGGTCGAAACATAACTCATACCCTTCCTCGTTCGGGCGGATGGTCAACGAGGAAAGTTTGTTAAGTTAACTCTTACTAAAAGTTTGTTAAGTTAACTCTTACTATCATGCAATGATTCCGGTTCAGTGAACGTTGCCTGGTTACCAGTAAACTCCATAAACATCTGTTTTGCCATTCTAGAGTCCTACTATTTGACTTCTCTAAATAAAACAATCAAATTCTGGCGCGTTACCATACACTTCTCAATCAGCCAAAAGCTATAATGAAAAACAAGTTCAGGAAAAGAGTATTGATACAAACTTTGTGAAATGGCTGTAGTGTAGAGAAGGTACATAACGTAAACGAATAGTACGGAGTGGTACACCACAAACGTTTGTTGATATGCTGGCCTGGAACCTTGGCAACGTAACGTTATATAAAATACATGTAGCATTATATTACCAATAAAGCACACACACAAGGACTCACAAAAGAAGACAGACTAAGACAGACTAGCAAACTCTTTAATATGAAAGAGTGGTAAGAGGACGTTCATTCCGTTTTTTCCGTGGACGCCCCTCTCCGACGCAAATTAGTGTATATAATACAATTGTAAATGTATGTACTAATTATGACCTTGACCTTTCACCCAACGCTCCAGAATTTCGATCTCGTACGAATTATTCTTATGCTCGGCAGCTGTGTCCTGAGGTAACGGCGACCTCGGGATTGACCTTGGAGCCATAAATACAAACACATCCATTGTATTCTTATATATATATATATATATATATATATCGGGATTGACCTTGGAGCCATAAATACAAACACATCCATTGTATTCTTATATATATATATATATATATATTCATTTATTAACCATGGAGTAGAGTGGCATTGCTATGCTACAAACGGCTGGAATTTTGGAAAGACGTATATATCCTCTCTCCTAAAATGGCGGAATCACATACAAGTAGTTCTTCAAATATGTGTCTGACGACATACGAGATGTGTTGCTAGGTGTTTTTTTATTTAATCAGATTTTTTCATAAATAGGAAACACGCCGTTTGTCAGTAGGCGGTTAAACTTCTGACCCTTTTACCACACTTTTTTGAAAGGTATCTGGTTACTTAAATTTGTTTTGTTCGCACAAATTTAAACTACATATTACAGTATTTTGGGTGATAAACTGCCTGCCCTGCACGTTTTGGTGATACATGTTGGTATACAACCTCACTCTACATCACCGTAGCGAATTGTAAACAAGTACACAAGGTCACTGTTGTAAACAGATCAAACAAATGTGAATATGTTTCCGGGAACTCGCCTGACAGATGCAGCCTGGCTGAGTGTTAAGTTTGGTTTGGCCCTGTAATACGTGCATATGTTAATGCGTCCGTTACTTGTGTGGTGGATTACGTAACAGGATAGTTGGGGGACAATGGAAATATCAAAGTGTCCTAAGGGGTCCAATGTTTTGGAAAAAAAATCACCTTAAATTATCAGTCAGTGTAAACAGCCATACGATACGTGGTGCAGCCAATAGAAGTACAGGTGAGAGGTACATGATCAAGCGAGTTCATCACATCGCGAGATATTTTTGCATTAAGATGGATGTGCCCTACATGGGCCTCGTACTACTACATGTTACATAACAGTCAGCCGACGGAGGCAAACCTCAGCGATGACAAACTCCATAACAATGGACCCAGACAATCTTAAACTTTTATTTAATGTACTGGCTAGAGGAAATATTTATATAGCTAGCTATGCCCTTTAATCAACCGGAAATGACATCTGTTTCCGTCTGTTACCAAAATGGAAATGGATAAGGATATTCCAGAAGTGTTTTTACTAGTTTACATTAAAAAACAAAAACTCAATAGGAGTGACAACAGATGCAGCTTTAAGTATTTACCATAAAGCAACTTCCGGTTTTAAATGCACTTTCATCGTTTTACAATGCTAATCTTTGCTAGCATTTATGTTCACACTGTTTATTTATTTACATAAAAAACCAATCCTGTTTGAATTGTCAGAATCTATGAACCATGCAAGAGATTGATAGTCAGCAAGCTTTTTCTTGAGTAAATGTGTGTCGCCCACTTCCAAATGGCCAAATTCCATACTGTGCACGTCATGTGACTTTTAGTAATGTAATACAACATGCTGTTTAGCTAATTGTAACTTCCGGTGAATACTTACATTTAGACAAGACATTTTTCAGAGTCAGATTTCTGTTTTCTTTGCCTGAATGGATAGGACTGTAACAATACTTAATTCTATTGGAAACTCAAGCTTGCATAATGTCTAAAATTAATGCTGTGGATATTTCCATGTGATGCAACAGTGTGTGAATCATACAGGGCGATGACGCATGTTATTGTGTTTTGTTGTTTCACTGGAGCCGTCTGTGGTCTGTGGAAAAGAATTTTTTTTTTTAATTGTTTGTTTGGACCAAAATCCACTATCCCGCACCGTCAGGTACATTTCTGGTTATAATACATGTTTCCACGCATAAAGTAGAAGCAGATCTTTGCTATTCCCGCGACAACAGTAAATTCACCTTTTCCTATTTTGTATTTCTTTCTTTCTATGCTTTCTTTTCCACACTCGGTGTCCTTTGTGACAAGGTTTTGAGAATTTCTAGTCAAAGTCTCGAAACTTCCACCAAAGTCAAAGGACTTCAGCACAAAAGGCAAAAAATGATGATCGCACAAGGTATCAGAACTTCCACACAAGGCCTTCGTGCTCCCACACAAGGTCTAAGGACTTCCACACAAGGCCTTCGTGCTCCCACACAAGGTCTAAGAACTTCCACACAAGGCCTTCGTGCTCCCACACAAGGTCTAAGAACTTCCACACAAGGCCTTCGTGCTCCCACACAAGGTCTAAGAACTTCCACACAAGGCCTTCGCACTCCCACACAAGGTCTAAGGTCTTCCACACAAGGCCTTCGTGCTCCCACACAAGGTCTAAGAACTTCCACATAAGACCTTTGCACTCCCACACAAGGTATCAGAACTTCCACACAAGGCCTTCGTACTCCCACACAAGGCCTTCGTGCTCCCACACAAGGTCTAAAGACTTCCACACAAGGCCTTCGTCCTCCCACACAAGGTCTAAGGACTTCCACACGAGGCCTTCGTCCTCCCACACAAGGTCTAAGAACTTCGACACAAGGCCTTCGCACTCCCACACAAGGTATCAGAACTTCCACACAAGACCTTTGCACTCCCACACAAGGTATCAGAACTTCCACACAAGGCCTTCGCACTCCCACACAAGGTCCGAGAACTCCCACAAACGGCCTAAAGGACTCCCACTCAATGTCTAAGGACTTCCAACACACAAGGTCAAAGGACTCTCACGCAGGGTCTCAGAACTCCCAAAAAAGGTCTGATGACTTCCACTCAATGTCTAAGGACCCCCACAAAAAAGTCCAAGGACTCTCACATAATGTCTAAGGACTCTCACACATTGTCCAAGGACTCTCACATAATGTCTAAGGACTCTCACACAATGCCCAAGGTCTCTCAAACAATGTCTAAGGACACCCACATAAGGACTTCCACTCAAGGCCTCCGGACCCCCATACAGTACAGTAGCAATGCCCAAGGTCTCCCAAACAATGTCTAAGGACACCCACATAAGGACTTCCACTCAAGGCCTCCGGACCCCCATACAGTACAGTAGCAATGCCCAAGGTCTCCCAAACAATGTCTAAGGACACCCACATAAGGACTTCCACTCAAGGCCTCCGGACCCCCATACAGTACAGTAGCACAACACTTGCTGTCGAATCCAATTCAACCTCTTATAGTATGCTGTACGAGTGATATAAAGTTTATATGAGGGTTTCAGGAATGTTATTGTTTTACCGAGAACGGCAGTATTTTGGATCGCGATTCCAATACTAGATGAAACAACCTGGTATATTCGTCTGAAGATGGTTGTTAGGCTGTAAAATGTAAGAGAAGCACAACATTTGTCGTGTTGAAAATATAGAAGAATCGAGTCTGAAAGGACGTTTTAAACATACAAGGAATTGATCAATTCATCTTTGAAATTCAGCATCATTTAGACTGTCTCAACTGGGTTTATTATCATTGTTTATTTATTTTCTTCTAACTCATCAGAAGCATATCTGATTATTACATTGTTCAGGTTGACCAGACGATGTGATTGAGAGACTCTGGTACGTTTATACCACCAAATGTTAAATAGAGCATCAATAGGCTATGATCCAACTACATACTTAATGATTAAAGTAATGTTTGTGTTCAGCAAGACACTTCTGGCATTTATTCGGATTAAACTGTCACCTTGGTCTCCCTTAATGGTCATCATGGCTAGTATCAGCGCGTGCTAAAAGGGCGAGACGTTCTGACCCAACATGCGAATGGTCAATTTGTTTACAGCTGGTCAAGCCTTGTCATCTAAATACAGTCGCACTGACCATTGGTCATGTGTCCCAAGTATCGATTCAACTTATTCCGACTCGGATTAGTGAAATCCAAACGATGTAATCATCTGAAGTTGATAACGATATAGATTGTGTCTAGTCCGCTAGAAGATATATTCACAGTCTCTCTATGAAAAACCTGACACTGTTTTGTGGTTGTACACACATACATGTATAACAGTTTTCAATTAAAACCGGTATTCTTCCCGGATAGATATTGGATATTATAGATGTATAACTGTTTTCAATTAAAACCGGTATTCTTCCCGGATAGATATTGGATATTATAGATGTATAACTGTTTTCAATTAAAACCGGTATTCTTCCCGGATAGATATTGGATATTATAGATGTATAACTGTTTTCAATTAAAACCGGTATTCTTCCCGGATAGATATTGGATATTATAGATGTATAGCTGTTTTCAATTAAAACCGGTATTCTTCCCGGATAGATATTGGATATTATAGATGTATAACTGTTTTCAATTAAAACCGGTATTCTTCCCGGATAGATATTGGATATTATAGATGTATAACTGTTTTCAATTAAAACCGGTATTCTTCCCGGAAAAGCTGTCACACCATAATATGTCTACATTTCATAAGTAGTGAACATCATTGCTATATAATGCATTGTGTTATACTTATGTTTGTCACAATAATAACACTACACTGTTAATGTTTTATTGTTTATCATATGTGACTTTAAATAAAGCTTGTTGACAACACTATTGAATATCTCTATAAATAAAATGTGGGAGTGTACTATAAAGAATGAGTACATAATACACAGTAGCTTCATTCTGTGCTGATGGCGAGTGGATTAATTTCCATATATTACAAAAATTCAAAGTCACCTTCTAAAGGGCATCAGAAGATGACATTTTTCAGTTTACTGCTGTAGAGTGCTGGATTTGCATAGCACGCTAGTTTGAAAAGAAATTCTGATGATAATCCAAATTATATTATGTATTTTATAAAGCATATTAATTCATTCTTTTAAAATGTGGCATTAACATATTGTGAAATTATAGTTAAAACGCAGCACTCGATGTAAGATATGTTAAAAATTTGGAATTACAGAACCGTTTGTTGAAATTATAACAGGCCTTTCTTGCAACCAACTAGTTGGTTTGGTTTTTTTATCCTTGATCTATAGAACGACACATTTTGCTGTAATTGATAATTTCCCCAGTATACATAATTTCGTTTTATAATTAGTTTGCACGTATTTCCCATTCTCATATTCCTACTGTTTGGATTTTATTACAAAAACTGAATAAGATATGTTCAATGTTATATATAAATCATTAATGAAAGAGGATACAATAAGTTTAATAAGTTAAATCAATTTGACCAAGTATCCATACTGTGTAAGAGAATATTGACATCATTTTTCAGCTTTCTTTCTTAATAAAATCTGAAAACATACTTGTACATTACAATCGATATCAATCATTCTTGGTAACCATAAGCCGTATTATAAAATAAACGTTCTCTCCTATGACCCATGTTTGACACTCAGGAAACTCATTCAGTTCGGGAATATAAATTAGATCTATGGGAGTCTAATCAATGAAATCTGCTCATCAGTATACCAACTTATTCGTTCATGAAATGAGCATGTTCGCCTGCCGAAAATTCTATACCTGTTCGTCAACATATTAAACATAAATAATGCTACTCATGCGATTTTGTAAAATATAAATACACCTAAGCTCTCTGAATGGCCTCGACCTAATTTCCATCGACTGTAAACACGCTACAAATCTACATATCAATCACTGATCGTAGAGGTCAAAGGTCACAATGTTGTCATTACTATCCAATGGCTCATAGGCTGACCGAATTCCAAACCAATCAAATCGCTCGTCAGAGGCCGGCTTTCTGTATCAACAAAACAAGCCGACGAACTCAGTGAAAAAATTTACCGGCATATGTGAAGACGCGTGTGGAGTGGAAGAGAGTTTGTGCAATGAACAGACATTGACGCTTAATTCAGTGGATGTATTCTGAAATATTGGACGTTTATTTCAATCATGCCTCATCATAGACATCACCGAAGTCAGCGAGGAAGTGTTAAAGACGAAACAAACAACAACGAAACCAGCGTGGTAGAAGGCACGCATAACGACAACAATCAGCCTGAGAATAACCGACATGTAGTTGTAAGCTGTTGTATGCCGTCTGGGTGTCTATGTTCGGAGGAAAGTATAGATCCGTCGGACGCTGGAGATGCTGTCAGGGTTGTATGCAACAATGATGCATGTTCTGAAGGTACGTGGATGCATAAAATTTGTTTTGATGATTGGGAGGACGGTGTGTTGGCTTACCTGAAGTCGTGTGGCAGAGCACGTAGCTGGAGCGAAAAGCAACGTTTGCAGAATTTGTGGACCAAGAAGGGTTATGATCTTGCATTCAAAGCTTGTGATTGTCGTTGCGGGCGTGGTCACTTAAGGAAAGACTTGGACTACATCCCACCCCCCAAAAATGACAACGCCCGGAAACACAAGAAAAAGGCCAAGAAAAACGACCGTCCAATGCCCGTGGTTACCAGTGGTAAGAGCGGGTCGCATAACGTCAATCATAACGTGAACCATAACGTTAATCACAACCACGTCGACCATGGAAACAACAACGTCAGTGGTCAAAACGGGAACCGAAACAACGGACAAAGTATAGTAGGCTTAAATGTCAACACGAACACTATACGAAACCGAAACATAAGTACCAGCAGCGAACCCAAGCTTGATAACGTAAGTCGCAGCGTTACTGGAACGTCGAATCCGCCCAACAAGAACTCCGGCTCGACCGGGAAGAAAAATGACAACAACAATACAGGTAGTGCTAATAGCATCAGTAAACCTATTAACACTACTGCTATCGTCCGTCCAAGGACCGACAGTCTCGGAAGTACAGGCAGTTCTTCCGTCATCTCCACGGGGTCGAGCTCGCCGACGCCGTCGCCGCCTCGGAATGGCAACATGCTGATACGGGCCCCCAAGCCTAAGTTTGACACGTGTTCGACCGACTCTGCTCAGACATCGTTTTCTAACATTTTCCGACGACGTCACGATCTGACTGCGTTTAATATGCTTCCTCGTCACAAACAGAACCCGTACCACATCAAAATGGAGGATGACGGACCACCCGGTAATGACGAAACGCGGAGTTTTGTTCTCAACCATCTGAGCACTTATAAGGTGTCGTCTTTGAATTGTGTGCTGTGTATGTGCACACTTCCGGTGTTCGATCGCTATCCAATGATCGATGGTACGTTCTTTCTGTCACCACAAGCGTACGGCGACGGCGTCGTTCAGGTTATATCGGAAGGCCGACTGCAGTTTATCAACGCCGCATGCGTCAACTGTCTGGAAGGTGCAAGCAATGTCCAATGTATGGCATGCAAAAGGAAGTGGGACGGAAGCACTCTACTCCTTGGGTCCATGTATTCTTATGATATCTTCGCCGCGATGCCTTGCTGTCAGAAGCGACTTACGTGCAAACATTGTCGACGTGCCGTCGTTGACATAAACAACGGTCTAGCGTTCTACAGCGAGTACAGCCGAATGATAGCGTGTCCTTACTGTAAGGCACACGACTACCATTTCATACGCCCCATGCAGGAGACGTTCGCCGTGAAGCCATACCAACCGGCCAAACAACAACCTATATGGAATTAATGAATAGTGAACTTTAGATAATCGCAAATATTAACTTTGTGAGGACTGCACATTTTTTATATGGTAACATTTTGTATGATTCACACATTTGCAATAAGGCAACCTCACCATCATCAACATGTTCATCTTGACGTGCGCGTGTTATTTGTGACCTGTAATATTATAAATGTGTATTTAGCAGAGAAAAGTTCAATGTAAGCGAACTGTATCGATGGCTATAGCGGGACTTTTTGGGACACCCCATCATTCGGACTGAACAGTTTATGAAATTCATTATCAGGAAAGATGAGTTTCGGGTTTTTAATTTTGTTTCATTTTCCGAGATATTACTTCGGATATGTTTACTTTTTGGAAGATTGGTGGAATATCGTTTTTATGTTGATTTATTTTTCATCACGTGGTATGTATGGAATCTTAGCGCGGGATGTTTTTTTTATTCGTATTGGTGCGATTGTATGTGACTGCAAACATTACTTTCCAAGTGCCTGGATGACACTTAACATATGGATGTTTCTTTTTTTTCTAAACGTGAAGCATTTGGTGCATAATTGTGTCGGCTTAAAAGCTGTCGAGGGTCCAATAGGAAAATCGGAAGTGGATTTGCAACAGAAAGTACAATGTATGTAGTGCAGATATTTCCATAAATGACAGTAAACTGGTAATTTGTGTAAAATGCACATTTCCGATGGATTTTTTCAGCTCTCTGAGTCTCCCTACGAGGAACCTCGATAGTGAGCTCCCGAAACTTCTGAAACTCTCCATTATGCTCGTATAATATTATGTTCACGGCACGTGTTATTTTGCTGCTACACACGTACATACTTATTTGAATTAGAGAAGATCTTTAGTTCAATAATGATTCACTGACCAAAGCTTCATGAAATGTGAGTAAAATGGAAAAAAAGTATATATCGTTCATTACTTGCTAGCTTTCAGTCTGAGAACTGAAGTACGTCGTTCATTGTAGTAACTTGTCATGTAGGTGATTTCTCCTAGTCGTCCACTAACATTGATGAAACGGTCATGCTGGACATTTTTCAGAAATACTACATTATAATAATTCAGTATTTGATATAGGGCAAAAACCGCATCTAATTGCGTATGTGTAAGTAGGTAACTTGCTGTATATATAATATACTCACGTGCATATGCTGTCGATTGTAAGTCGCTTGTTTGCTGGTCTGTAAGACAGTGGTGCAGTACTGCAAAACTGAGGAAATGGCGAACCTGTCGGGTTTATTTTTTGAAATAAAGTATTTACTACGAAGGTTTTGAAGTTGGATTATTCTAGAATTTGATATATAAAGTGGTTTGGTACTCTGTACACTTGTCGTGTGCATACTTTTTGATACTTTGTTCAAATTAATTTGTAAATTTTGATTGAAAGTATGAAAATTTTAAACATTAGACCTAGCTCCTCCAAGAGGGGCACGTGACGCGTACATTTCGACGATTTGTATACAGATACATTATTAAATATGAGATTTTACGCTTAAGACTGGCAACCGAAACGTTGCAGTTTGAAAGAACTTAATTCACCGATAGAAAAAAAAAACCTTGTAATTTGGTGCAAGTGTTAGCTCCTTGCTGTGATAGGTGTTGTGGTTCAGGTTTATTACTGACAGTTATGCTGTACACTCTTATTTGAATTCGAGAAAAAAAACCAATACACGTATCCTTCTGTTTGTCATGAGAATTCTCTTTGTATTAAATATTGGTAAAAGTTTGGCAAAATGACAGCATACCCACATTAAATAAATTGAAAGTTATAGGGTGGTAATTTAAGTGCCGCGGCCGCGAGGTCTGTTTATCATAGGCTGTTTATGCAAAACAACCCACGGCCTTGACCTTATGTCAGGAAACATTAACCGAGTTTTCCCATGTAAATAGGACAGATTGTATTTTTAACTCATTGTGACGGTACTTTTCTAGTCTGCAGTAGTACACGGGACATGTGTACACATTGCGTGTTTCCACATAACTCAGCGTAAATTTTAAAAAATCGGATCATTTGGCATATCTTGCGGTGTGCAAGACCAACTTCGTATTTCAGAGGTTGCAGAAAGGATTACGCATGTTATTGTTTCATGTAAAAGAATGTTTTTCTCGCTCAAACAAACGTGACTATACGCTTACGGTAGAGTAAAAATAACGTGTGATGTATCTGCATTTTATGACTTTGGTTGTGGCTGTCTATAATGCACTTTTATGAATGAAATTTTAGCGTTTCTAGGTCCTAGTAACAGTAGATCTCGTTGCACTGTGTTTTAGACTGACCTCCACACATTATTTATGCTACCTTATTCTTTCTGTGTCATTTTATCACGCAACAAACAACCGCATAGAGTGATGTATTTTAACAATAACTACAGAGTAATTTAAACAAATTCAGACAAGCATCCCCTAGTTCTACTCTTCTGGAGATGTCCCAACTATTTCGTCTTTCAATAATTCGGAGTTACTTATTGTTGTGAGCATGGTTTAGTCATTTATGTGTACGAGAAAAGAAAATGACGTAATTTTCTCGAGCGAACTGATGACGTAACAATCAATACCTGCTCATGGGTAACTCTGCATTGTGAACAAAACTGCATATGTACAGGTTTTCCTGAGGTCCTCTGGGTCCCAAGTATAAAGGTACTTATTTGTCAGATAAACTATTGTAAAATGCGACTTGATCAAGCTCACAAAGTTACGTTCAGATAGTGGGATGTCAGAAAGTGTTGCGAATTGGACACACATTTATACTTCTTAATACGGGTTTAAAGTGGGAAACAAAACCGAGACGACCCGTTCAATTGCAACTTGGCCAAAATGTATTGCTTGGTCTCGTATTCAGAGAGGCTTGGTTGTTTGACACAGTGCCAAGTAATTTATATGAAGAATGCGTAAACAACAAGCCTATTATTAATGGGTTATTTATGGTGCTGTCTGTTAGGGTATATTGTAGTCATAACTTGGTCATTAAATATATGAATGACAAGTTAAAACGTACGTGCAATGAATTTACTGAAGGATTTGGTAAATCGTCAGATTTTGTATGATATTTGACTTCCATAACAACATGTTGATTCTTATTCTTTAAATGTATTGCAGTAGATATTAGGGATATAACTAAAGTACTGTTTCCATTTCACTTTGATAAATAGACCCAAGAATCGAATTCAAGTGTGTAGGGGTATGACATTGGTGTAAACATATTTATCATCTACAGCATTGTTAGTTTGTACTGAGGTCGATTTCTGACTTCAGTTGTAGAATTTCACAATCTAATGAAAAGTATTGGATTGGAGGTGCTGGTATAGTTGGTGTTTCATGAGTCCGGGCTTTACCTTGAAACGATATCAAATATCTGTTTTAATTCAGAATTATGGCATGAAAAAGGTAAATCGAAAATAGAGTCCACACTTTCTGCAACAGATGTTTTCCAACTATAACAAAAAGGAATCGCGTTCATTTTAACTTTCGCGATTTTGACCAATCAGAACGCTGTTTTCTAGTTACTGCATTGAAAATCAACGATTTATGGTGTTCGGACGCAAAGGAAGCGAGTGTTGGATAAGTTAGGTTTCCATCGACCGACTCTTTTATGTAAAGATTTCATGTTTTTTCTTATTTGGTATATAAAATCAGTTTTATATCCGATTCTTAGCAGAAAACAGCGTAAAACGTTTGAATACGGTGGAAAGACGCTCATTCAAAATGTTTACTGTATGGCGCAGGTAACGTATGTATGGACAGTAATTTCCCGCCGTCCTGACTGTTAAATAATAAATAGGGTTGATACTCGATAATTAACAGATGCTAAAGAATGAACCAATCCATCAATGTGAAAATCGCTTTTTTTTTGGTTTGAGAAAAATAACACTTTTCGATATTCGGAAAAAATGAATATATTTCTTGTCTTTTTTAAATACCGTACTTTTGATTTTATTAAAACCACGATCTACAGTTGATAATCCCTAAACACTGTTGGTTATAACTGATGTATGGTACAGTAGATAATCCCTAAATACTGTTAGTTATAACTACAGTAGATAATCCCTAAATACTGTTAGTTATAACTACAGTAGATACTCCCTAAATACTGTTAGTTATAACTACAGTAGATAATCCCCTAAATACTGTTATAACTACAGTAGATAAACCCTAAATACTGTTATTTATAACTAATGTATGGTACAGTAGATAATCCCTAAATACTGTTAGTTATAACTACAGTAGATAATCCCTAAATACTGTTAGTTATCCCTAAATACTGTTAGTTATAACTAATGTATGATACAGTAGATACTCCCTAAATACTGTTAGTTATAACTACAGTAGATAATCCCTAAATACTGTTAGTTATAACTACAGTAGATAACCCCTAATACTGTTAGTTATAACTACAGTAGATAATCCCTAAATACTGTTAGTTATAACTACAGTAGATAATCCCTAAATACTGTTAGTTATAACTACAGTAGATAATCCCTAAATACTGTTAGTTATAACTACAGTAGATAATCCCTAAATACTGTTAGTTATAGCTACAGTAGATAATCCCCTAAATACTGTTAGTTATAACTAATGATAATCCCTAAATATGATACAGTAGATAATCCCTAAATACTGTTAGTTATAACTAATGTATGATACAGTAGATACTCCCTAAATACTGTTAGTTATAACTAATGTATGATACAGTAGATAATCCCTAAATACTGTTAGTTATAACTACAGTAGATAATCCCCTAAATACTGTTAGTTATAACTACAGTAGATAATCCCTAAATACTGTTAGTTATAACTACAGTAGATAATCCCTAAATACTGTTAGTTATAACTACAGTAGATAATCCCCTAAATACTGTTAGTTATAACTACAGTAGATAATCCCCTAAATACTGTTAGTTATAACTACAGTAGATAATCCCTAAATACTGTTAGTTATAACTACAGTAGATAATCCCCTAAATACTGTTAGTTATAACTATAGTAGATAATCCCCTAAATACTGTTAGTTATAACTACAGTAGATAATCCCCTAAATACTGTTATAACTACAGTAGATAATCCCTAAATACTGTTAGTTATAACTAATGTATGGTACAGTAGATAATCCCTTAAATACTGTTAGTTATAACTTCAGTAGTTAATCCCAGTAGATAATCCCCTAAAAACGACCCCTCTCTCTCTCTCTCTCTCTCTCACCTGACGAAACTGTTGACTTACTACCAGAGGGGAAAAGTGCCTTCGGTCGCTATAAGTATGTTGACGTTTCTGTGGTTTACCGCTGTTTACCCGTACCGTTCATATCAAAATATTTACTCAGTGTTGTAGTAGGTACTGTAGTGGAGACATTATCAGACTGTCTGTACACTTAGTCTGTGAAACAAATCTGTTTACATCGTTCAAATCGATATCAGCTATAGACTTTTCAACTTTGACCTTGACACGCATCTGCGGTTACTTAGTGACGATTAAGGGATCACATCCACGTATTGTGACATAGTTTGTCATGATGTTGGATATTTAGATATCACAAACCGTTAAGGTGTGTTATGAATTCACTACTACACAAACAATATTTAATCGGTCACGCGTCATTTTCATATGTCTTTGATATTATAAACATCGACTTTATTCTGAGTTCAGATCAAAATTGTTCACAACATAACCCAAAGAACTCGAAATCCAAGTCCCAGAAAAACTAGACCATTACAAGAAAATAAGAACACCATGGTTGAATCTTCAAGAAAACACAAGAACGCGACACTGAAGTCCTCGATAGAACACAAGAACACCGCATCTTTATCCCCAAGAGAAGACCAAAATCGCCACATTTGAGTTCCCGAGTTATGTGTGTGCAAGCTATCTTATACCGGCAAGGTAGATTGAACTTACCCTCACCGGAAGTGTGGATATTTCTATGCGATAAGACAGAAGAGATAGTTGCATTTTAGTTCTCGAGAGAAGAAAAGAATGCCAAATTTGAGTTCTCGATAGGTGACATATACGTCATACTGAGTTCCCAATAGAAGATAAGATATTGAGTCCTCGAGAACGAATTAAAACGCCACAATTAAGTTTCCATGCGGAGACAAATACGCCACATTGAGTTCCCGGGAGAAGACAAAAACGTCACGTTGAGTCTCCGAGAGAGGATAACGAGATTCCAGAGAGATCTTGGCACCCACAATTGTTTGATCTTTAATTGCTCTTTGAAAGATGGATCTTTTACCTTCTTTTCTCCACCCTTCTCTGTTTTTGCCCTCGATAATA